CAATTGCTTTGTCGATGCCACTTTCCCTACAAAGAAATCTCAACTGCTTGGCTACTGTCCTGGCTACTGGCCCCACCATCCCAGCAACAGAGCAGCTGACAGTGTGCTTGCCTGGCTGATGGCTGTAATCTTTTTGCAAATCTTGCAGCTTACACGCCATTAGGAATCTGGTTTCTGTCTCTTCCTCCTCCTCCCATTTTTGTGATGGCTCTGCTCCATCTTCACCACCTTCTTCTGACTTAAAGAGAAAAGCTCCTACCAAGTATTCTGACTCTTGTTGACATTTTTTCCTCTTGCGTGTAGAGGCAACTGATACTGGCACTGGTTGGTTCTCTGGTTGAACTGTGGGACTTGTCACAGGGATTGGAGTGACCATAGAACTGATTGTGAGAATTGGGGTGACTGCACAGCCTGTCAGAAGAGTTAGAATAACTGCCTGGCCTATAGCAGTAGTTGGAGCAGACGCAGTACCTTTTGAAGGAACCGGAGGTGCTGCAGCATCTGTCATGGGAGTTGGAGGGCCCATTGCATTGTCATCAGATCCGGAGGTATTCCCCGGAGGATGCTGGATAGTACTGAACAGAGCTCAGTAGTCATAGGCCAGGCCCCAGCACACTGCCGTGATTTGTGCCTCTGTAGGACTGCCAGGACAGCAGCAGACCTTTTCCAAGTATTCTACTAGTTTTTCCCTGATTCTTCCGCCCCGAACAACTGCAGTTTCAAACCACTGGGGCGCGCCCACCACTCTAGGCTCCTGACCATACCATCCCACGCTCCCTGCCACTCAGAACTATCCCACCTCGGGGTAGATCTCTGGGTGATATTCCTAAGTGATTGTTTAATCTTAAACATAACCTGGAACACATCCACAACACGTAGCAATAGGAACACGCTGGTTTGAACACCCCACAGATATTCAAAACTCTCAGGAGCTACTGTAACTACTTGAAGGAAGGAGAAAGAGAGGCTGAAGAACTGTTGGAAAATGTCCTCGCCTGTCTCCCCCACAGCCCATTGTCTCCCTGCCCCCCATAGCCTGTGTCTCCTCCAGGAGAGGAAGCAAAGAGTGCAATTAATAATAGTCTCCATGAATATGGTTCCTGAAGCCCAGAGATGACTGGGAGGCCGAGTACAGATGCCAGATTAGTTTTCTGACCAGCAATTTTATCATAAAGTAAGACAAGGCCATGCAGCATAGCAAAATAGAAACCTTAATCCAACCCCCAGAGATGAAAAATAACATAGCAGGGGAAATAAACAGCAAGAGCAAGGTGCTAAACAGTATACTTCCATAAAAAGACTCTCAAGGAGCTCCACAGATAATAACACTATTAGCATGATGACTAGCAATTATCAAACTGCCACAGCAACCCTGTGTTAACATGCTCTGGTCAGATCTGCTGTTATCTCAATTATTCTTGTCTCACATTGGGTGAGAAAATGACTTGTGATTTAACCTGACAGGTGACTAAGCACTACACAGTCAGTTGCTCACTCCCTCCTCCCTTCCCAGTAGGATAGAGGGTAGAATTGGAAAAAGAAAGCAAAGTAAAACTTGTGGGTTGAGATTTAAAAAAGAAAACAACACAACACCTCTTTACTAGCGTAGAAAAAAGAAAGAGGGAATAAAGTTATGACAATTATACATACATGTATATATTTAACGAGTGGGCGGTAAGCAACTGCTTGTACATCAGTGCCCAGCTAGTCTCTGAACAGCAGCAGGCTCTCCAATGAACCCCCCCCCTCCCTTTTTTCCCCCTCAAACTTACCTTCCACATGATATTTTATCATATGGAAAATCCCTTTGGCTAGTTTAGGTCAGCTGTCCTGATTCTGTCCCCTCTCCACTCCTCATGCCCCCAGCCCCCTTGCTGGCAGGACAGTAGAAGAAGCTGAGGAAACAAGAACATCATTTACACTGTACAGAGCTGCTCAGGAACATCTAGAAACATTGGTGTTATCAATGTTGTTTTTTTCCCAAAACCAAGACATGCATCGTAACAGACAAAAAAACAAAACAAAAAAAAAAACACAAAACAAGACAAAAGAGAAAGATCCAGGGAGCTACAGGCCAGCCAGTCTCACCTCTGTGCCTGGCAAGATCATAGAGCAGATCCTCCTGAAGGCCCCACTAAGGCACGTGGAAAACAAAGACAAGGTGATCGGTGGTAACCAACGTGGTTTCACCAAGGGCAAGTCATGCCTGACAAACTTGGTGGCCTTTTATGATGGAGTTACAGCGTCAGTGAATAAAGGAAGAGCAACTGATGTCATCTACCTGGACTTGTGCAAAGTGTTTGACACTGTCCCACACAACATCCTGGTCCCCAAATTGGCAAAAAAAGGGTTTTATGGATGGACCACTCACTGGATAAAGAATCGGCTGGACGGCTGCGCTCAGAGAGTTGCGGTCAACGGTTCAGTGTCCAAGTAGAGACCGGTGACGAGTGGTGTTCCTCAGGGATTGACGTTGGAGCCGGTGCTATTCAACATCTTTGTAGGTGACATGGACAGCAGGATCGAGTGCACCCTCAGCAAGTTTGCAGACAACACCAAGTTGAGTGGTGCAGTTGACACACTAGAAGGGAAGGGACACTATCCAGAGGGACCTGGACAGGCTTGAGAGGTGGACCCATGCCAACCCCATGAAGTTCAGCAAGGCCAAGTGCAAGGTCCTGCACCTGGGTTGGGGCAATCCCAAGCACAGATACAGGTTGGGCAAAGAATGGCTTGAGAGCAGCCCTGAAGAGAAGGATTTGGGGGTGTCGGTTGATGAAAGATTCAACAGGAGCCGGCAATGCCTGCTTGCAGCCCAGAAAGCCAATTGTATCCTGGGTTGCATCAAGAGGAGCGTGACCAGCAGGTCGAGGGAGGTGATTCCGCCCCTCTAATCTGCTCTTGTGAGACCCCACCTAGAGTTCTGTGTCCAGTTCTGGAGCCCCCAACACAAGGAGGACATGGAGTTGTTGGAACAGGTCCAGAGGAGGGCCACAAAGACAATCAGAGGGCTAGAGCACCTCCCCTACGAGGACAGGCTGAGAGCGCTAGGGCTCTTCAGCCTGGAGAAGACTCCAGAGGGACCACCTTATAGCCCTCCAGTACCGGAAGGGGGCCTACAGGGAAGCTGGGGAGGGACTTTTTAATAAAGGCATGTAGTAACAGGACAAGGAGAAGTGGTTTTTAACTAGAAGAGGGCATGTTTAGGCTAGATATTAGGAAGAAATTCTTTACTGTGAGGGTAGTGAGACACCGGAACAGAGTGCCCAGCGAGGTTATGAATGGCCCCTCCCCAGAAGCATTCAAGGCCAGGCCGGATGGCGCTTTGAGCAATCTAGTCTAAAAGGAGACGTCCCTGCCTATAGCAGAGGGGTTGGAACTAGATGATCTTAAAGGTCCCTTCCAACCCAAACCATTCTATGAAGGGATCTGAACTACTTTGGAAGTGGTACTGAAGCACAGCTCCTTTTGGCACCCTGACTACCTGTGCTAGATGCTCAGAAGGGAACAATCTCCACCACACATCATACAGTTGACGGGACACAGAGTGAGTGAGTTACACCAATCATGCAACAGGCTCAAAAAAGGAATCTCAGATGGCTAGGAATCTTAGAAGCAATTACAGACTAGTGCTCTGCTTACAAAGAAGCAAAACTGCTTCTGGCAGGTTCTTGGCAACACCAGGTAAAGCATTTGCAGGTAGACTAATAATCGCATACTGAAAGAAGAATAGAACCCACCCAGCTGGTGAAAGGACACTCTAGCCATACAACACTCTTCCACAAAAAGCAACCAAAGCTTTCCATGGCTGGCCCTTATATGAGCCCAGGGTGGCTCCACCCCTTCTGGTCACATGGGGGAGCACAGGTGCAAACAATTTGCCTGTGCTCCCTTGGCCAGCCACACCCCCTCACCAGGTGCTCAATCACCAGTTTAAGCTGTGACCTAGCAGTTCCCCTACAATTGGTTTGAAGGCAAAGATTTTAGAATATCTCTAGAGGGGAAGGAGGTTGACACATGCTGAAGCATCTCCACTATATAATAAGGTGTGTGATGGTAGGGCTCCTGTGATGAATGCTTCTAATAAGCATGTAAGTAGTTGTTTATGGACTATACTTTAGGATAGTTAGCTACTTTCATGTTCAGCAAACGTTTTACTGATGATTGTTTTAAATGTAATGTAGTTATTTAGTTTAGTCTTCAAAGTCTATTTCCGTGGACAACCAAACTTATGCTCTTCTGAATTAAACGATGTTTGATCGCGTAGACTTATATTCTACAGAGCTGTGCTGTTAAGTACAAGTTACGTATTTGTTCTTTAATCAAATCCCATGTTAGCTTTAGGCAGGATAACGTGCAAATACTAGGCAAGCAATAAGCTGATTGCATAGTAGTTGTGCTTGTTTGCACTTTGCTTGTGGGCCCCATAGTAACTTTTTCAAAGTTTCCTAACTAAACCTGGAGCGTATGTTTAAGAACAATTAAAAAGTCATTTCATCCACCTCATGATGTTTTAGTATAAGTAATGAAGTAAACGTAGCGCTTACAAAGCCGTGCACGTAGAGCAATCGCTAATATAATTTTACAGATCTAGGGTTTATGCTGTAAAACACGTAATCATACAAGCTGTAGTAATAAACTACCCTTATCAATGAAGCCCTTAAGACTTCGTATTTAACTTCATTTCAAGTAAGATTCGAATGAACCGTGAAGCGTGACTTTTTACATCTTGTTTTTGATTGAGTGTGGTCTCAGATTGGAAATAGAAGCTGGAAAATTCCAAGCTGTGTGGGTTTTTAATCAAACAGCTGGAAAATAATAGCATTCTATATAATCATTATTTAAAGTAAGAGGATAATCATGTCTCCCAAAGGTAACAAGGCCTATATGACTGGAAAAAGCATTTATTTGGTTCAAAAATTTGGGGAGTCCAACATCTTATGTATTAATTCAGGGTGGACTGTTTATCTTAGCTTTTGTGTTTTGGGATTTTTTTTTAGTTGTTTGTCCAGTCCAATCACGGTGATGAAGAGGCAACAAGAATTACATACTTGACATTTATTGGAACTCCAGTCCAAGCAACAAATATGAATGACTTCAAGCGGGTGAGTCTTTGTTTCTTTAAAAGCACTTATGAATGTTTTAAATCTACCCAAAAATGAGTCAACTGAACAAATACACTCAGTTGTTGTTGTAACTCCACTACTTAAGGTAGATTTAGCATCCAAAACAAAGCATGTTGCTTTATCTTACAGCTCTTTGGTCTTGCCTTTAAGTTTTTGTTCTTTAACTGTTTTGGTGGTGGTTTTTTTTTCCTTTTTTTGTTTGTTTTAAAGAAAACAAGTAAAAACATACATCAACTACTGAAAACATGAGAGAGTGTCAAGTTATGCATATTCCAGACAGTGTTGTTTCTTAACAGCTGTGAGGTTTGTACCTTAATTTCAAAACTCGTATGCTGCTGGTGTTTGGGAAGCAGGAAAGCAAGCCTCAGTATGAAATAGACTCCTTGTGATTGGCTTGACTTCTGCTTTGGTGATGGATTTCATGGATTTATTCAATGGGCAATGTTATGTTGATATCCAAAATAACTTTTGGTCACAAGGTGACAGTTACATTAAACATACCTGCTTTTTTTAAAAACAGTAAACGAGGAATCAAACACCTTGTTATGGTGTGACTTTAGGCCCGCAAACACTAAACAATAAAGCATTCTCATTTCTTTTTTGAGAATGTGAAATGGGCTTAGAAGTGTTTAAACTCTTTGAAAGAAAGCTGTAAGTAGCTTTAGATTTTAGTATCCTCTAAAAATAAATTGCTTTAAAGCTTACCCTGGTTTACAAAGACAAAGAGTGCTGTAACACCACTGCCTCCAAACTGAGCAGCCCAAGCAACCACTGACATTGAAAGACTGCAGAATTTATTACACAAGCCACCTATAACTTCAGAAGGCTAAAAATGCTAACAGCTACCACACGTCACGTACTTGGAATTTTTTTATGTTAAAACCCAATCTTAACTTCTACATTTAAAGTGTAATCAAGTTAATGAATAAAAGAAAAGTTTAACAAGGTTTTGCTGCCTTTTACTGAATAGGAAGTCATTGAAGAAGAGGCTCTAATCTACTAAAATTAACTGGATATCAATTTTAGATGTTTCCAATGGCACACCTCTGTTTTACTCAAAACTAGAAATAGGTTAATTCATTTAAAATCTGATTAGATGGGTTTGTTTGTTTGTTTTGTACAGCTCTTTTTGCAAGTACTTAAGATAGCAGGACAGTATCCTGCAGTGAGTTGTGCCATTGCTATTTAACATCCCATTACTTCTCTGCTATTTTTGGGAAGAAAATGACACTCCTATGCTGATAGTTTCAATATTTGATCTGTCTCTGTTCCTATTCTCTGTCCACTTTGTAGATGTTTTACTTTCTGAATGTTTATTCTTAAAGAGGTACATTCTTTAAACTTGATCATCTAATTGTGTGGTTTTTTTCCCCTCAATGGACAATTTTGATTGAGATGAACTGACAAACAATTCATAGCTTCCTGTGGGATGTTACATGGGTTTGTGACTAGTGGTGAGCCACGTGATGTTTCTTCTGATATTTTATATTGCAATAACAAAATACTAGTTTGGTAGACGCAGTGCTCATATGCTGCCTTAGTCTGAAGCTGTAACAACCTTAGTTCCACTCAGTGTTGGTTAAGGGAGACTTCTTCCAATTTCTACGTACAGCTCAGTTTTAAGTAGTTAAGGGTACAGCTCAGATTTTAGTAGTTAAGGGTGGTCAGGAATCAAACACACTTCTTCACTAGGAGGCAGGTGGAGAAGTGAAGCAGCAGCAGATGCAGGCTGCACTGAGAGAGGTTACATCTTGAGGTAAGAGAGAAGTAGTTTGACAGGGAGAACAATTAATCCCTGGAGCAGGCTCTGCAGGGCCATGGTGGAATCCCCATCCCTGGAGACTTTTGAGGTGCTATGGGACAGGGCATTTCAGATGGCACACTTTTTTCCACAAAGAGCTGGAGCTGATGGTCTTTCAGGGTCCCTTCCACCCTGGGCTATCATTCTGAGTACACATGCAACCCTGTAAAGACAAAAAAAAATATAGCGAGTCTCATCTGTTTGCTGTAGTTAAGGGGGTTTTTAAGTCTCCCTCAGTTCTAGATGCAGCAAAGAGGGATGGAAGCTGCTATATAGCCCGTAAAATACCACACTGGTTACAATTTTGGTTTGCTTAAAGTTCACACGTGAGTGCCTGCACCACTGAGAAATGCAATCTGTGCTATGTGTTAGAACAGAAGGGAAAAGGAGCACTAGACTACAAGACCTATATGCCTTAAGCATTAACCCTGTGTAGCACTGCATTGGTAACAAAAGGATATTGAAGAACTGCTCACAACTACCTTACAGAAGAGTACGTACTGCTAGCTAACGAGGCAGCTAATTCCCCCCTCAATTCAAATACTTCACAACACCATACATAACATTCCTATGTTACTTCAGGAACACATACTTTAACATCCTAATGTTAATAATGTTAAACTATGTTGTATAATCAAAAAATATTAAGATCTTATAACTATGAAATAAACAAGAGAGTTAGGCAAAGCAGATTATAATAATAAAAAGAGAATAGACAGGACACTTACCCATATCCTGGACTTGCTTATGAAACTGTAGCAGAGGGGATCTCCAGAAGAGACCCTTCTCTTCCCCCCCGTCAGCTCTTAAATGGGTCTAGGAGAGGTGGAGCCAGGCTCCACCCCTTCCTGCAGCACAGGTTAATTGCCTTCACCTGTGCTCCCAGGGCTGACTCATTGCTCACCTCAGGTGATCAATCAGAGGTTCAGGCCATGACTCAGCAGTTCCCATACAGTCCACCCCTTCACAGCATGAACCAATGATCAGGTTGACTAATGGGTAAGCTTTTCCTAATACAGAGACCCGCTATATCACGATGCTTATACAATTTCCATCGCGACGCATGTTGGTACAATTCAAGATGAGTGAACGTTGATATCCTTTTATGGGCCAGTGCTCCATGATGTTACTGGAGGCATGCGGTCGTTGAGGTTCAGGTCCGTCTTATGTTCCATCAGTCCCATGTAGACCATTGCTGGGTGCTGCAGGTGATCTGACTGTAACACTGGAACGCTTTGATGGCATTTCGTTCCTTCTGGTGATCCTGAAGGCTCAAAGACTCACGGGGAGTAATACAGATGTTTCAAGGGTACCAGGAGGGGAAGGTCTGCCATCCGGGGCAAGATACAGGCCGTATTTCTAACCTGGGTCAACACTTCCGCTTGTACTGGGGCATGTCCCGGCTGCCTGTACCACACCTTCTGGCCAGATGTCTGCGGCTGCATAACTATATCAGGCACCAAAGGAGGTGTCCTGATCTGCCATAGGGACGTGATGGGGGTCCCTTTAGCAATGAAGATCAGAGTGTTGACCACAACATCAGTAGGCCATGTACCTCTTACTGGAGGGACTACTGAGCCTCCCACCTCCAACAATCTCCCCCAAGGTGCAAGTAGGCCACACCACTTGGGTCCTACCTGCACCTTCCAAGGCCATTTTATCCTATAGGTGCCTGGTTCTAAATTCTCAGGGGCAGGGAGCAGAAGATTATTTTCATTACTAATATGGGGACTTACCTGATGATCAGTGCCCCTAATTTGGATCCTAAGCAGGGTGGCCCATGTTATCTGCAGCATTCTCAGGGCACTGGGTCTGCCGTCTCGGGGTCTTTCATTCAGGTCCCGCAAGGTTTCATACAGTCTTTTTGTCCACCCCTGCAGGGACTGGGAGTCTGTCTTCAGGGCAGCCTTAAGAATACCATTATGACGTTCAATGAGGCCTGCCCCCGTTGGATTATATGGCAGGTGGAATCGCCATTCGATGTTACTTTCTTCTGCCCAGTGCTGTATCGTTGCACCAGTAAAATGAGTCCCTTGGTCGCTCTCGATGACTTGAGGTGTCCCATAGGCAGACATCAGTTTAGTGAGGACCTTGATGGTAATATGCCTGGTTTGCTTTTGGCACTGGATAGGCCTGCAGTAGCTCACTTGCAGTGTTGATGCAGGTCAGGGCATATCTCACCCCCTCAGACCGAGGAAGGGGCCCAATGTAATCGACCTGCCATCACTGGAGAGGATTGTGTCCTCTAGCAAGATGGGCTGTCATTTCGGGCAATGATCTCGGTCTCATCTTAGAGCAAGCGTCGCAATCCCAGCATGCCTGGACGATGTCAGGTAGTTGTATGGGCAGTCCCCATGCTTTAGCAGCTGCCCACATTGTCTTTTGTCCCGCATGCTGTAGCTTCTGATGTAACCAACGGGCGATGTTCTCAGATGGTGAATTCTCAATCCATCGAACTCGGGCCAGCGTGTCAGCTTCATCATTTCCCGGTGACTGTAGGGGCTGATGACCAGAAACATGGTAGACACATATAGTCCTGTGTTTGACTGTATTCCATGTGTCTCACCATGTCTTTGCCCCAGATTGGTCGGGCGTGGATAGTCCATTCCTGGGTGGCCCACTGTGCAATCCAAAGAGTGAGCCCCCGGTACACAGCCCAACTATCTGTGCAGATGTTCAGGATACCATCACCGGGTTCCTTGGTTATAACCATCCACACGGCTCGCAGTTCTGCCCATTGGCTGCCCTGACCATCCCCCTCGTCAAACTAGAGTGTCTCAGTCGAAGGATGGTATGCTATCGCTCTCCACTTGCTCGGGTTGCCCTTGCTGGACCCATCTGTATACCAGGCATCTTCAGGGATGGGATATTTCCCCTTCTGAACGGGACTCTTCTCTGGTGGAGCGACCAGTGTTTCTTTTGGTGCATCACAATGATAGGCCACTAGGCCTAGGATCTTCTGAAGCTTTTCTTTCAAGGGTGATGAAGACAGACTGCTCCTTTGGCTGAGGTAAGCGACCCATCGTGCCACTGTTTGTGCTTGGGCCACCCCTGTCTTAAGAAGGTGGGTCAGATCATTCACCCACCCCAATTCGGCAGAGTGGTCTAAACTATAACTTCAGCCGTCTGGGTTATTGGCTCTACTGCCTGTAATGCAGAGTAGGCAGCCAATAACTGTTTTTCAAACATACGGTATCTTTCTTCTGCTCCATGCCAGACCTGAGACCAAAAACCAATGGGGGTCCGAACAGAACTCTGGCGTTGCCACAGGCCCCAACCAAAGCCATCTTGAGTAACGTGAACATCCAACTCAGCTGGGAGGGTAGGATCAAATATACCCAATGCCTGGGCTTGTTTAACTGCCAGTTTTGCCTGCTGGAAAGCATCCTGTCCTGTTTTCCCCCAGTCCCATAGCTGCCCCTTTTTTGTGAGTCTGTACAGCGGCCTCAGCAGCTGCGCTAGGTGAGGTATAAAGGAACACCAGTAACCCAATATACCTAGAAACTCTTGCAGCTGCTTTGATGTTGTAGGGACTGGGAATGCCTGAACCTCATCTATGACAGCACTGGGGAGTACTTCAGTCTTTCCTGAACAAACCACGCCCAGGAATTTTATGGACAGGCCCGGACCTTGCACCTTTTGGGGATTTATAGCCCACCCTCTCTGTTGTAAATAGGCGGTTAATGAATCTGCCGCCTGCCCTACTGCCTCCAGTGAGTCGGATGTCAGCAGGAGATCATCAATATAATGATACAGGTTAACATCATCAGTTTTTTTCCAATCAGCCAGGTCACGCGCCACTAGATTGTGACAATATGTTGGTGAATGCACGTACCCCTGTGGCAGGACCTGAAAGGTCCACTGCCTGCCTCCCCACGTAAATGCAAACTGATCTTGTGATTCCTCAGCAATTGGGATACTGAAGAACGCATTTGCTAAATCTAGGACACAATGATAGGTTTTAATCTCCCTACTTAATTTGTCTATCAGGGAGGCAATGTTGGGTACGGCCGCATGAATAGGCGGCGTGACTTTATTTAATTCTCTGTAATCTACTGTCATTCTCCATGTGCCATCCGACTTCCGCACTGGCCATAAGGGGGAATTATAAGGGCTGCGTGCAGGTCTTACAATGCCCACTTATTCTAATTCCTACACCGTTCTCACTATTCCATCTTGCCCACCCGGGAGTCTATACTGCCTTACATTGGTAATCCAGCGTGGTTTTGGCAGGCAAATAGGCCCATGTTTCGCATGGCCTCTTCATATTGCCTGCACCGCCTGGATACTGATACATCTCTGTCCACCTCTGAACTCTCCCACAGTTGTCTGGAGAGCCAGACCCCATAGAATATCTGTGCCCAAGATGTACTCCTGGACTGGGGCAATAGATACCTTATACTCCAGGAGTGTGAGACGCCCAACCCCCAGTTTCAACCGTGTTTGGGTGACAGGAATAGTCTGTCCCCCAAAACCACCAATCATCACTCTGTCTCCATCAAACTTAGTTGGATCTCCGTAAATAATTGATGTTTCTGCTCCAGTGTCCACTAATGCCATAACTCTTTGAATGTTTCTTCGGGACCAGTAAATCGTTAATTCTACATAGGGCCTCCGGTCCCATCTGGAGGCCCTAGGGGGACTAACATCCCTCGTCACACCATGAGTTGAGCTACGGCCAATTCTTTTGCTTCCGGTGGCTCAGGCATTGTAGCCCGAGACACCTGAGGCGGCTTTTTTTTTCCTATTAGTAACAATGAAATCCTCTAAGTTCCACGTCGTTGTTGGCATTCTCTCTATAACCCTTACCCTTGGTTTCTTAGGGTAGGTCAGAAATTTTTGGTTGTCCTTTAATTGTTTCCAGAGTTGGAGAAGGATATGGTTGGGCTGGCCGTCAATCTTAGCAAATTGGACCCCAGCCCAAATTAAATCATTAAACATTTGTCTTTGGGAAACCCTTATGGGTCTCGATTGAGGAGCTCGAGTAGCCGGCATTTTGGTTTTAGTCACTGGCAAGACCTCGGCTTCTTCTAGTGTCCGAATGTTGCGCCTATTCCGCAGGCGTTCTGTTTCTCCTAGATAAGCCACTAACTGCACAGCCTGCTGGACAACTGCTTCTGAGGCCACTAGGGGATTTAATATAGAAACCAGATTACCGTACAGATGGGAGGGAGCTTGTTGTAAAATTAGGTCTCTCATCCCCGCTGAGAATTTGACCAGATCCGGGCTATCAAACGTGTCTTCATAAATTGCTTCCCTTACACCTAGTTCACGGAGCCAGGCTCCACCCCTTCCTGCAGCACAGGTGAATTGCTTTCAAATGCTATCCAATTGATTTGTTACAAATTCTATGAAACTAAGGAATAGTGGTGAAGATAGGGAAGTTAGTGACAGTAAAGAGAGAAATCGTAACAAACGGTTTACAGAGTGGGGATTGTCGCCACCAGGGATTCTGCAATGTCTTGTTGGTCTGTAGGGAGGCAGCAAGTTGGTCAGCAACGTCTCGTTGATCTGCACGGCTGCAGTTTGGCAGCTACCCTGTGGCTCAAAGCTTGTTTACACTGTCCCATGGTGGTACTAAGGAGAAACGCATTGAGGGAAACAAAGGGAAAAGGGAAAAGTACATGTATAAATTCTGAATTTGATTTATGGAATGATGGAACATTCAGTACTTTAGATAATAATTACATAAAAGGATCAATCAAGATAAAAACAGTTGTGCTGCTAATGCGCATAACAGAACTTTCCTTACCCATGGATCGCCAAGATGCTAG